TCGGCGCCCGCCCCGCGCGCACGGCTTAAAAGGGGCCGCGCCCCCCGCGGGGGCCCCGCCCGGTTCCGGGGCGGCGGCGGCACCGGCGCATGGCGGCGCTTCCGCTGCGGCGGCGGCACCACCATGAACTACATGCCCGGCACGGCCAGCCTGATCCAGGACATCGACAGTGAGTGCGCCCCGCGGTCCTGCTCCCCGCGGGCTGCCCGGGCCCCTCTCCCCGCGGGGAGACGCCCCCCGTGGGCTCCGGTCCCCCCGTGGGCTCCGGTCCCCCCGCGCTGTCTCGGGGCCGGGACCGACGCCCCGCTCTCGTTTCCCCCCGCAGAGAAGCACCTGGTGCTGCTGCGGGACGGGCGGACGCTCATCGGGTACCTGCGCAGCATCGACCAGTTCGGTACGGCCGGGCCGGGGGCTGCGGGGGGCTGCGGGCACCCCCTGGGGCCGGTCCCGGGCAGGGAGGAGGAGGAGGAGGAGGAGGAAGAGGGATCCGCGGTGCGTTTTTAGAGCGTGTTCGTGCTGCGGGTCAAACACCCGCCCGTGTGTCACTTGGTGCCGCTCCCAGAACCGGGAGCTCCCCCCCGTGATTGTGTCCAGCGCTGATGCTCTGGCATCGCTGTTTGGGCAGAAATAGCCCGGGTGATGCTCGCGCTCCAGCCCATCGCTCGCTCCCTGCCAAGAACCTGCAGCACCAACAACGCCCGCCGTCTTCTCCGCTGCCGAAGGCACGAGGGTCTCAGGTGGGCTCAGCCCGGGGGTCTGAGCTCTCTCCCCGCCCTGCCCGCACGGCTGCGGGAGCTGCCGAGGTGGAGAGAGCTGGGGAGACGGTCGGTGCCTTCGGGGGCGCGGCTCAGAGCACCCACCGAGTGGTGGGAGAGCACCGTCACCGCCCGGGGGGCTCTGCCTGGTGGGACGGGACACTCGGTGCAGCCGGAAATCACAGCGAAATGTGGATGGTTTTCTGTCTCTCTCTCGTCGCTGTAGCAAACTTGGTGCTGCACCAGACTGTGGAGCGCATCCACGTGGGCAAGAAGTATGGGGACATCCCTCGGGGCATCTTTGTCGTGAGGGGCGAGAACGTGGTTCTGCTGGGGGAAATTGTAAGTGAACAGCTCGTGCAGCAGCCTGGGACTGAGCTGGGGGCATTCGTGGTCTGTCTGTCTGTCTGCTGAGAAATACGGTCACTGTCCTGCTGGGAGGCTGGAATTTAAGCCCCCTCCCAGGGCCACTTCAGGCTGAACCATCACAGAAATGTCCCCGGGGTGCAGAGGGCAGAGGTGTCTCCCGTAGCTGAAGCCCATCAGGGATGACGTGAAGGATGAAGAGCAATGTGGGGGAGCTGCAGGGAAGCTCCAGCTTCTGTGTGGCATTGCTGGAGGGTGTCATTAGTGGCTGCCTGTCACCTCCCTGCTGGCTCTGCACCAGGGGACACTGTCCGGGGTGGGCTTGGGAGGAGCCAAGAGCTGTCTCACTCGCTCTGTTTGCTTTGAGCTCCCCAGAAGCCCCCTCCCAGGACTGTCCTGGAGTCCCTGGTTGTCCCAGGGGTCCCTGCCCATGTTCCCACTCCTCGGGATGCCTCCAGCACCTCTGTTTTCCGTCCCCTCCCCCCTTTGATGGCACCTGTGGGAGGTGTGTGGGCACAGGTGTCCCGTGGTCTGGGGTACCATGCGGAGCTCAGCTGGTCATTTCTCCCGCAGGACCTGGAGAAGGAGAGCGACACACCTCTGCAGCAGGTGTCCATTGAAGAGATCCTGGAGGAGCAGCGGGTGGAGCTGCAGGCCAAGCAGGAGTCGGAGAAGCTGAAGGTGCAGGCGCTGAAGGAGCGGGGCCTGTCGGTGCCGCGGGCGGATACGCTGGACGAGTACTAGAGCTGCTGCCCCTTGGGGGCTCCTGATCCCCCTGGGCAGGGACAGAGCTCCTTGGAAAGGCGGCCTTTATTTTCAGATTGTCTTTTCTGTACACAAATCATGCCTTTAGTCTCCTTGCAGAGAAGGAGATGGGGTCTGGCACAACGGCCGGGAGCGAGCGTTTGTGTTCGGGAGGCAAATCGCTGCTCTTTGGGTTTGTTTGCTTTTTCCTCCTCATGTGACTCTGGGCGAGAGTTTTCCTTGAAGTGTAAATAAATCCTTGATCCTGGCATCACTGGTTTTCCAGTGTTCTGGTCCTGGTGTTCTGGTCCCCCCTCTCTCAGGATGAGCACCCCTTGTGCCAACTCGTGTCCCTGCTGTGCAGGGGGAGCGGGCTTGCTCCAAGGAAAAACAAGATCCTTCCCTCTGGGATGGGGAAAAGAACCTGGGCACCCCCTGTACCCCAACAAAGATTACCAGCACCCCCCAGCCAGGGCCTTGTGCTGCTCCCCTGCAGCTGAGCCCACTAATTACCTGCTGATGAAGAGCTGCCAGACCAGGGTCAGCACAGCCCCTCCTCACCTCAGTGCTCTAGTGGAGCCGGCGCAGCTGCCTCAGGTTGGAACGTCCTTTGCCCCGAGCGTGTCCCGGTGCTGCCGGAGGTAGGAGAGTCCTTGGCTGTGACGTTGGGTCGGGGTTGGCTTTGGGCAGCTGCCAGGCTCCGGGAGCCTCCCGTGAGTGGGCAGGGAAGGGCAAACCTCGGCAGGGACAATCCCTGTGGGAAGCTCAGACCACTTTCCTGGGCACTGGGGAAGTTCTCTGGGGGGAAGAGTCTGTGCAGGGGTTTTGTCTTCTGAAGTGGCTGGTTTCTGTGCAGGACAAGCCCAGCTCCTCTTGCTGGGGCTGAGCAGAGCTGTCCTGGAGAGCCAACAGCCACCGTGGCCAGCACTGCTTCCCCCTCGCTGGCCCGGGGCCTGCTCATTTTGGGGGGAAACGTGTCCCCCCCATTGGGTGGGCTCGAGTAGGGGTTGTGGGTTTGGGGGTGGCAAAGGTGTAAACAAGGAAATGCTTAAAAAAAAAAAGCCTTTATGGAGCTGGAGGTGGCTCCTGCGGCTGGAAAATCCCCAGCGGGAGGGGATGGTTTTTTGGGACCTGGATAGTTCGGGACTCCCCTTCCCAGCGCCCTGGGGTCTCGTTGCTGGAGGGTGGGAAGAAGAGGAGGAGGAGAAAGGCTGCGCTGGTGCCGGCAGTCTCGGGTTCGGTGCCTCCAGCCCGAGGTGGGCGGTGCGAGGAGCTGGTGCGGCCGGACCCCCGACTGGGGTGTCGGGGGGACCCCCGAGGCGCGGGGTCGCTCCCGCTGTCCCTTTACATAATCCCGTGACGCCGGGGGCGGCCCGTGACGTCACGGCGGTGACGCAGCCCCGGAGGCGGCCGGTGGCGGCGGGAGGCGCCCGGACCGCGCCGGGCATGGTGTGCGGGGACCCCCGCGCCATGGAGCTGGAGAACATCGTGGCCAACACCGTCCTGCTCAAGGCACGGGAAGGTACCGGCTCCTGGTCCCTGCTCCCCGTCCCGCTCCCCGTTCCCAGGCTGCACCCCGGTGCCCTCCCCGCGACCCCCTCCCAACAGGCACCCCCGGCCCGGGGCACCCCCTCCGAACCCCTCCGCGGGCACCTCGGGACCCCTCGGTCGGGACGGCGGGTGCCGGGTGGGCTCGTCCCGGGTGGCATCGCCGAGCTCCCGGAGGGACCGGCTGCCCCGGAGCTGTGCCCGGTGCGCTGGGACGTGTCCGTCCGTCCGTCCCACCCGCCCGCAGAGCCGGGGACGGGAGCAGGGAGCGCAAAAAGCGATTTAGTGCCGTTCCCCGAGGGGTGCGTGTGCAGGGGTGGCCGGGAGCCGCTCTGTCCGTGTGTCCGTGCCGGTGGGACGAGCCTGGCACGGACGGGGCTCTCGCCAGCCAAACTTTGCCGGTGCCGGGACGGTTCGGTGCAGGCCGGAGCCAAAACGGGCACTGCCGGGACGAACTCGGCCTCGCCGGGAGGTGCCGGCGGTGCCGTCCCGGTGCGAGCCCTGCGGCCGCCGGGGCGAGGAGCTGCGGGCGTCGCACCCCTCCGGAGCGGGACTTGGCACGGGCTCCCAGGGAGCCTTTGTTTGCTTTTGGTTTCCTTTGGGAAGCCGGCGCCCTCATCACTGAACCTTCCTGACCGAAAAGCGAACGGCCCTGGAGCCGCCGGCGCTGCCCTGCGGGAGAATTGGGGGCCAGGTTTGGTCCTGTACATCCCTGTATCCCAAAGGTCTCCTTACCCCCATCGTGTCGCTCCTGGCAGTGCCGGGGGTGCTGCGGGGACGGCCCATGTGCCGGGGCCGGAGTGGTGCCGCTGCCCTCGCCAGGGAGGGAGAGGTTTGGTGTGGGCAACTTGGGCAATCCCAGCGATGCTCCTGCTCGGGGCTGCTCCTGTCCCATGGGATGCTTGATGGCTCCTGCATGAGCCAGAGCCTCAACGGAGCTGGTGCTGGAGAAGAAGAATTTGGAGCGAGGGTGGCTCTGCCACCATGGGCACCAAATGGGTTAATGTTGGTGTGTGACGGTGTGAGAGGTGACGTGGAGCAAGACCAGGGCTGGGACAAGGGCTGCGTCCCGGCTGGGTGGGGATTGGAGCAGTGGGGAGGATTGGAGCCTCCTCAGTGAAAAGCTGAGACCCCACAGCCATGGCTGGGGATCCCCATGCTCGAGGTCACAGGCTGCCGTGGAAGGTGCTGGAAGGCACAGGGGGGCCCAGTGAGGTCCATCCCAGGAGCATCCTGCCGAGCATCCCTGCAAGGTCAGGTCAGCCTGGCCCGCCGTGCCAGGATGGCTCCTGGGGCAGGTGGAAGGTCCTTGCCTGGGCATCACCCCTTTGCCAGGAGCCTGGAGGGCTCCAGCCTGGGCACCGCAGGCCGAGGGGAGCGGTTGCTCCTCTTCCTCAGGGCCCTGTGCCCCCATGTCAGGGTGAGCAGGGGGCCCAGGGACCTCTTGCTCCCGAGGCCACTCCGCTGGCTGGCGCGGGGCGATTCCTGCCGGAGGAAGCCGGCGATGACGGCAGGAAGCTCTGCCCGGAGCCCAGAACCACGGGCTCGCCTCGGCGTCACCGGGGCCGGGTGGTGCTGGCCGGGCACCAGCTCGGGGCCGTGCTGATGTCAGGTCCCTGCAGGGATGACTTCACGCACCAGGAGGGAGCGGTGGCTGGTGGGGGGGCCACCCCTCTGCCCCCTCTGCGTCCCTGCAGAGTTCCCGTCGCCGAGGATGGGGGAATAAGGAAGCCAGGTGTTTACAGGAGGGAGCGACACTGTGCAGGAGGAATCCTGCACATGCCAGGCTCGGCCTCCCCTGGCGCCAAATGATGCTGAGGGGGATCCCCTCCCTGCCCTGGGAGTCAGGACTGGGTGGGGAGCCCCTCGGCTGTTCAGAATCGGGGTCCCTGAAGGGTCAGAGCCCACTCTGGGGCTGGGGGTCTGTTTTCCCACGTGGCTTTAGCAGTGCCCAAAGCAGTGCTGGCAGCGTGTGGTGTGTGAGCGATGGGTTTTGGGGGCTGGGAGCGGTGGGATCAGGGGAACCCCCAAACCAGGTGACTCTGCAGGACTGGGCAGGGGCTCTGCCACCCCATTTCCCTCAGAGCAGCGATGCCCATCCTGCCAGCCTGACCTTGGCCCCTCGTTCCCTGCTGCAGGAGGCGGCGGCAAGAGGAAAGGCCGGAGCAAGAAGTGGAGGGAGATCCTGCGGTTCCCGCACATCAGCCAGTGCGACGAGCTGCGGAAGGGCCTGGGTGAGCCGGGAGGGCACCGGGAGCCGGCAGAACCAGCTCGTGGGTCCCGGCACAGCTGGGGCTGCGGCGTGTGCTGGGCAGCTCCCGTGGCAGCTCCTGCCTTCCCCTGCAGAGCAGGACTACGGCAGCCTGTGCCAGCGGCAGCCCATCGGCCGCCTGCTCTTCCGGCAGTTCTGTGAGACGCGGCCGGAGCTCCTGCGCTGCATCCGCTTCCTGGACGCCGTGGTGAGGGACCCTCGGGATGCTCGGGGTGCACTGAGGCTGTTGGGGTTGGGCTGAGCCCTGTGGCAGGTCCAGTGTGACCCCAGGGCTGTGGCTGAGGAGCATCCCAGGTGTGCCTGCTGTGGGTGGTGCCCATAGGGTAGGAGCTGGGAGGGATCCCTCGCCCCATGGCCGGGGCAGACCTGCCTCATTTTGGGAGGTGGGGAGGCTCGGTGGGGTCACAGGGCAGAGCTGTGCCTGGTGCCCTGTCTGCAGCACCCTCTTCTCCTCGGGCGTCCCAGGAGGAGTACGAACTCTCCCCAGATGAGAAGCGGAAGGAGATGGGGGAAGAGATCATCCAGCGGTTCCTCAGGCAGGAGGTGAGTCCTGAGGGGGGCTTTTCCCCCACCAGGAAGTGACCAGGATGAGATGGGATCACAGGTGGGGTGCAGGAGCGATGTCTCCAGGGCGTGGGTGTGATCCCTCCCCTTGGCAGTCCCCAGATTCCCTGCCCGAGGTGGGCCACCCCCACGCCAGTGAGTACCTGCAGGACCTGCAGAAGAGCCCCTGCAAGGACCTGTTCAGCAGCTGCCTGCGGTGAGCACCCTGCCCAGGGCTGGGGGACGGGGGGGCTGCAGTGACACCAACAGCCCCCTCTCCCCACAGCCCCCTGCACCAGTTCCTGAGCGGGGACCCCTTCGCCGACTACCGGGCCAGCATGTTCTTCGACCGGTTCCTGCAGTGGAAGTACCTGGAGAGGTGAGGGCTCTGAGGGGTGTTGGGGGCCCCGGAGGGCGCGGGGCTGACGTGTCCGACCGGGGCTGTGCGTTCCAGGCAGGCTGTCACCAAGGACACCTTCCGGCAGTACCGGATCCTGGGCAAGGGCGGGTTCGGAGAGGTACGGCCGGGGAGGAGGGAGGGCTGGGGGGGTGGACGGGCCGGGGGGGCTCACCCCACTGCCGACCCCGGCCCCCCAGGTGTGCGCCTGCCAGGTGCGGGCCACGGGCAAGATGTACGCCTGCAAGAAACTGGAGAAGAAGCGGATCAAGAAGCGGAAAGGGGAGGCGATGGCCCTGAACGAGAAGCAGATCCTGGAGAAGGTCAACAGCCGGTTCGTGGTGCGTGTGGGACCCTCCCGGGGGGCTGGGGGGGCCGGGGTGGGCACTGACAGCCAGGGTGGGCACACAGGTGAGCCTGGCCTACGCCTACGAGACGAAGGACGCGCTGTGCCTGGTGCTGACCATCATGAACGGGGGAGACCTCAAGTTCCACATCTACAACATGGGGAACCCCGGCTTCGAGGACAAGCGCGTGGCCTTCTACGCAGCAGAGATCTGCTGTGGGCTCCAGCACCTGCACCAGGAGGGCATCGTCTACAGGTGAGCTGGGCATGGGGCAGCGGGCGCTGAGCCAGCCCTCTGCACGGTGCTGAGCCACCCCTCTGTCCCCACAGGGACCTGAAGCCAGAGAATATCCTGCTGGATGATGATGGTGAGGAGGGAGCTGCCGGGTCTGGCCCTGCCCACGCTCGTGGCACGGGGATGGGTCTCTGTGTGATCCGGGGGGTACCTGGCTGTGCTCTGGGGGGGATGTGCAGGGATGTGAGGTGACCCTTCCCTGGGATAATGCCCCCAGCCCCCTCCCTGCCCCAGGCCACATCAGGATCTCTGACCTGGGGCTGGCTGTCAAGATCCCCGAGGGCGAGACCATCCGCGGCCGCGTGGGCACCGTCGGCTACATGGGTGAGCGTGAGGGCCGCGCTGGGGGGCTGGACCAGGGTCCTTGTGCTGCACCGTGCCCGGGTGCTGACAGCCGGGGGGGCTGTGCCCCACAGCCCCGGAGGTGATCAGCAACGAGCGCTACACCTTCAGCCCCGACTGGTGGGGCCTGGGCTGCCTGGTGTACGAGATGATCGAGGGCCAGTCGCCCTTCCGCGCCCGCAAGGAGCGGGTGAAGCGGGAGGAGGTGGAGAAGCGGGTGCAGGAGGAGCAGGAGCTCTACTCGGACAAGTTCAGCGAGGACGCCCAGGCCATCTGCAAGCTGGTGAGCTGGGGACACAGGAGCCCCCGCGGGGGCCGGGCTGGGTCCATCCCTGCCATGACACCCCCCGTTCCCCTCCCCAGCTCCTGGCCAAGGACCCCGGGGTGCGGCTGGGCTGCGGGGCCGGCGGGGCGGCCGAGGTGAAGCGCCATCCCTTCTTCAGGACCATCAACTTCAAGCGGCTGGAGGCCGGAATCATGACCCCCCCCTTCGTGCCGGACGTAAGGGCCGGGCAGGGGGTGGGCACCCGTGGTGTGGGGGGACGGCCCCGCTCCCCCCACTGCCCCCCTGACAGCCCCCCCCGGGCCCTGCAGCCACGGGCGGTTTATTGCAAGGACGTGCTGGACATCGAGCAGTTCTCCACGGTGAAGGGCGTCAACTTGGACCAAACCGACAGCGATTTCTACGCCAAATTCGCCACGGGCAGCGTCTCCATCCCCTGGCAGAACGAGGTACTGGGGGCGTGGTGCACCAGAGGGGTCCCACCCGGCTGTGGTGCTGCCAGTGCCCAACCCTGCGGTGACCTGACCCCCCCAGATGATCGAGACCGAGTGTTTCAAGGACCTCAACGTGTTTGGGCCCGGCGGGACCCGCTCCCCTGACCTGGACTGGCAGCGGCTGCCCGAGCCCCCCAAGCGCAGCCTTTTGCAGCGGCTCTTCCGGCGACACGTAAGGGACAGGGGCGTGTTTTGGGGGGGGCTGGGGTGCCCTGGGGTCTCCCCGAGACCACCCTGGCTCACTGCCCACCATCCACCCGACTGTTCCTTGCAGCCAGCCGACTACACCATCGGCACCACCGTCCGCCCCCCCGGCCCGGCTGCCGTGAACTCGCACCCTCCTGCCGCCAAATCCTCCTGCCAAACCCCGGCACCGGCACCGTCTTGACCCCTCGGGGGGCCCCCAGCCCCCGTGTGCCCTCTCAGGGTTATCCCGGAGCAGCGCCGGGGCCGGGGGCTCTGGGGATGCTCACGGAGGGGAGGGGGACGCTGGCACGGGCTGGTGTATGGGGGCAGAGGGGCGGAGGCTGCCTTGACCCCAACCCTGCCAGCTCCCCACCCCTCCAGCCTGTTCCTGGGGGCTTCCAATGCAGGACCACCTCCCCCCAGCTCCCCTCCCCGCTGCCAGGGGAGGGGGCCAGGGCACAGACCTGTTTCTGCTGCTTTTGAGCCCGTTATCTTATCGCCGGGTCAGAGCGTGACCTCTGCGGGCATCGGGGAAGGGGGGGGGGGGGCTGCGGTTTATCTGCGCTCTCCAAATAGCAACATGGGCAGCCTTGGAGTGGGGGGACACCCCGACCCCCCCGGCCGTGCTGCAGGAGGGACGGGGTCACCCCGACAGAGCCTCCCCCCAGAGAGGCACGGCCTCCCCTGCTCCGGCCACTGCGGTGGGAAGAGGGCTGGGAGAGGGGAATTTTCTCGAAGGTGGCTGGGCAAGGGGGGGTGAGGGGCTCGCCCCCATCCTCGTGAGGCAGCTCCAGGCAGCCTCGGGGTTCCTGGGCCCCCCCATCCCTTCAGGCCCTGGTGAACCTCCGGCGCCTTTGGTCAGCGTTGATCCGGTTTTGTACATTTTGTACATTTGTGAATATTTGTACCTTGAGCCCTGTTGTACATTTTTTAAGTGAAAAGCTGCAAATGGAGCTGCATGGTGACTTTGTGGGGGGACTTGAGGGGCGTCTCCGTGGGGGCTGTGGGGGCCTTCTCGGGTGTTTTACCTCCCCCAGCATGTTCTCCCCCTCCTCACCCTGTGGGATGTGGGTGGGGGGTGCTGGGTGCCCATCCCGGGGCGGGGCTGTGCTGGTTTCCCAGGCATCCCCTTGGACATGGCCACGTGCTGCCCGTGCCCCCAGCTCCCTCCCCAGAACAGCAGGGCTCAGCCGAGGGGCTGACTGGGTCCAGGCAGGTCCGAGCTGTGGCCAGAGCCTTGTCCTGCCCCGCTGCTGGAGCTCAGTGGGCTCAGCTCACCAGGCCAGCTGTGTTCTGATGGAGAGGCTCCTTCCCGGTGCCCGAGGTAGGTGCTGGGAACCCAATCCCATCCCTGGTGCCTGTGGCACTGCTGCTGCTCCTCCTGGCCACCCTCGGTGCCCCCCCGCTGCTGTTCCTTTCCCTTGCAGGCTCGGTGCATGCATCAGCGTGGGGACCTCAAGGGACATCCAGAGGAGATGCTGAGGCCACATCAGGAGCTGGTGAGGGTCCTGGGTGTGTGCCAGATCACCAGACCCCCCTGAGGGTTCTGGAATCCTTTTTGGAGTCCCCTTGTGGTGCCCTGGGGGATGGATCACCTGGAGCATTTCCCTCGTGTGCTGTGGCACAGTGTGACTTGTCCTCACCTCCCCTCCCCAGGGGCACAGAGGGGCTCGTGCCCCTCCAGCCCCCCCCAGCCCAGAGCCAGAGGGGTGGCTCTGCCCGGGCTGTTTTGGTTCTTCTCACAAACAACTGTGTGTCCTTGTGCCAAGGCCTCGTGCCGGGAGCCGCTGCTCCGTCTGGGATAACAACAGCCCTGGGTGCTTCGCAGCTGGGGGGTCTCTGGTCCCTGGTTCTGTGTCCCCCTCACTGTCAGGGCAGGGGGCCTGTGGGTAATGCACAATTTCTGGGGGTCTCTGGTCTCCCTGGGCACCCGGACCTGTGGGTGCTCCGTGTGCCTTTGACCAGAGCTCTGGGCTCAGGGATTTCAAACCCTCTGGAATTTCCCTCACTCCACGTGCAGGCAGGTGGGAGCAGGTGGGTGAAGCCCAGAGCGGGGAGAGCTGCAGCACAACTTGGGAGTCACAGCTGTGGGACCGTGGCTGCAGTGAGGATTTCCCAGCAAACATTTGGGAAGGGGACAATGCAGCCTCCAGCTTCCTCCTGGTCCCTCCAGCACCTTCGTCTGGTCGCGCATCCCTGACGTGAATGTGAGGTGCTTTCTGCACACGACAGAGGATGATGGAGAGGAGCATCCTGAGGAGCAGCAGGAACATTCTGGATGGCAGGTGGGACCCGAATCATCTCGAGGGGGGGGCCGGGGACAAGCAGGGGGAGGCGAGGGGCTCCCCGGGGCTGGTGCAGCAATGGGGTGACCTCCCCCTGGGCCAAGTTGTTGCAACAGCGGGGAGGAAGGTCAGGCTCCCCGCAGGAGGGTGCAGGGGTTGACGTCAAAGGAAGCAGCTGTGATTCACGGGTTCCTGGGAGCGCTGGTCTCCGGGCCGTAACTCATCCCAGAAATGTCATTTCAGCCTTGAGTGTTATCGCTGCTCTGCCGTTGCCCACCACTCCCAGCCCTGGGACAGATAACCAGGCTCGGGGGTAGGGGGGCTGCACGAGGCTGCCCCTTGCTCCCAGCCCGGGCTCAGCAGTGTTTAATATTCATCGTGTTTAATATTCAGCTCTGTATGGGCTGTCCTGGTTCTTGTGTGCAGCATTTGCTGAGGTTGGGCAGAGCCTGGCTGGGTTGTTCCAGGATGGCTCTGTCGCGAGATGGTGTCGTCCATTGTTGTTATTATCCATTGTTATCCATCCACAATAATCATCCTCCATGACCTTGTAGGTCTTTTCCCACCTTACTGACTCTGTGGTTCCGTGTTTGCCCACCGACACCTGCCAGAATTGATTATCATCTGTCATTACCTGCAGCTGATGGCCCTGGCACGGCAGGAGCTGGGCAGGGGAGCTCTGCCTCTCTGCTGTCCCTCAGGGGTGCTGTGCCCCCGTGGCTGTGCCATGGACGGGGCCGGCCGTGCCCTCCTGTGCCGGCTCCGTGTCCCAGCACGGCGCTGGCCCCTCAGCTGCGTGAGGAGCCCGGCGTGGCCTTGGCCCGCAGGCCCCTGCCGTGAGTGACGGCTCTTATCTGGCAGCTGACGGGGCAGAATCCTTCAGCCCACGTACTTAAGGCCGTGAAGGCGGCGGGGCCGGGGCAGAACCGAGCTCGACGCAGACACCGACACAGGCACCGACCACAGCCACCCACCACAGCTCAGGAGATGCTCCCAGCCACGTCCAAGCTCTGCGCCGCCATCTCCTACCGGCACCTGCGCAACATGACCGGTGAGGGGCTGCCTGGGGCGGGAGGGGTGGTGGGGTCCTGTCCCCCTGTCAGACTGAAGTTCATGGGAGAAGCTCCTGCTGAGTTGCAGGTGCAGAAAGGAACCCCCCCCTTGCTTTCTAAACTCCTTCTCAGGCAGGAGGACCAGCTCAGGAGTGCTCTCCTGACCCCACCCCATGCCGTGTTGCTTTCTGGGTTTTGTGATTTACTGTCCCCACCGCCCTTTTTGCCATCTCTGGGGTCTGAGGGGACAGCCCATGCCCCCGTGGCCAGCTCTAGGTCACACTCCCACTGGCAGTGAGGATTTTCTATCCTTGTGCTCCATTTCTATGCTCTTTCCTGGGCCACCTGATGTTCCTCAGTATTTTTACTGCTGCCTGGCTCGGACCTGGAACCAAACCTGGGATTGCTTAGGACAGGCTGTCCCAGGGCAGCACAATGACTGCTCCCTGTGCCTGTGGGGACTCAGTAAAGGTGACAAGCAGAGGCTTTTCTGTGTTGTATGTTCAAACTGGGCAAAAAAGCCCCTGGAAAGGCCCCTGACGTGCTCTCCCCCTCAGGTCTGAGGAGACAAGCCGCCGTGGCCCTCAGCCAGGAGCTGAGCAGACTCGCCTGCCGCAGCCCAGGACCCAGCTCCTGGATCCACCAGGTTCGCAGGAGGAGCTCCTTGCTCAGTAAGTGACACCTCAGGGGGGTCTGTCCCTTCGTGCCAGGGGAGGCTGTCAGGGATCGGGGATCCAGGGAGCGGCTGGGGGAAAACCTGCTCCTGGGCGGGCTGTGCTTCTGCTGAACCAGCAGCAGAGTGGGAATTGGGTTTAATTCCCCTGTCCCTGGGCATGGAAAGGGTATTTGGTGTAGATAAAGCTTATCTGACACGTTATGCTGTTCTTGCACTCACTCCTGCCTTTGTCTGGTCCCGGCAGGCTCGAGGCTGGAGGAGAAGCCCTTCAGCGAGATGGAAATGTCTTACATCAAACAAGGAGAGGAAGCCCTGCAGAAATCCCTCAGAATCCTGGAGGACCAGGACGGCTGGAAGACGGAGACGGTGGCGGTGGGTGCTCTGCCCTGTGGCACCGACGCTCCTCCTGCAAACAGCTGTGGTGTTAATCCTGCTGTCCCCCCTCCAGGGAAACGGAGACAAAGTGCTGAGCAAGGTGCTGCCGGACGTGGGGAAGGTGTTCCGGCTGGAGGTGGTGGTGGACCAGCCCCTGGACTCGGTGTACGGAGAGCTGGTGGACAACATGGAGCAGATGGGAGACTGGAACCCCAACGTCAAAGAAGTCAAGGTAGGAAATGTGTGTCACAGTCGGGGTTCACACGGGTCCGGCTCCGTGTGGTGTTGGAAGGGCCCATCACAGCAGGAACACAGGGAATTCTCCCCTGTTCTTTGCGACTGTATCTTGTCCCTTGCCTGCTGCAGATGTGGAGGGTTTTTATGCAGTAACTCTATTGTTGCTGCAGCAAAGGTGAGCCTGGAGCAGCTTCTCTGTGACTAATTCTGCAGGAAATGCACTTTCCTGCAAGGAGCAGCCACTTCTGCTGTAACTCTGGGCTGATCCGGAGGAGAAGCAGCCCCGAGGCACAAGGAAGAGTTTGGCTATCCCACAGCTCCTCTGGAATCAGAGAAGCAGTAAGAGAAACACCTGTCCTTTCAGGAACTGAAAATTCATGTTCTGCACCTGGGTGGAGCAGATATTTGCAATTTTTCTCCCTGTAAATGCCAAGTTTTTGTCAGACCCTGTGTTTGAGCAGCCGGTAGCCAAAGGCAGCTTTTTAGCTACGTGGCACTTAAAAACTTCAAACTGAGGTTTCGATTCCAAACCGCAGATCCTGGAGAAGATCGGGAAGGACACGGTGATCACCCATGAGAAGGCGGCCGCGACCCCCGGGAACATCGTTGGGCCCCGGGACTTCGTGAGCGTCCGGTGCTCCAAGAGACGCGGCTCCACCTGTGTCCTGGCCGGAATGTCCACCACGTACGGGGCGATGCCAGAGCAGGAGGGGTTCATCAGGTAACCCCCTGTTCAATCCCCTTATGGGGTGTGCAATGAGGGAGATTCCCATGGGGCAGGAGGGTTTTAGCAGGGGCTCAGTCACTGGGTTTGGGCAGCAGGAGCTGCTGAGGAAACCCCCAATCACAAAGTGTATTTTTGAGGCTTGAAGTCCAAGTTTTGGGTCTGACCCCGTCCCTCCCCCCTGCCAGGGCTGAGAACGGTCCCACCTGCATGGTCCTGCGCCCGCTGCCCGGCAGCCCCTCCCGGACCAGGCTGACCTGGCTGCTCAGCATCGACCTCAAGGTACGGGGAAGGGCACAGGGGGGAGAACAGGGGCTGCGGGGGAGGCAGGTCCCGCTCACAGGCTGTGTCTGCTCCTCTCCAGGGCTGGCTGCCCAAGACCATCATCAACCAGGTCCTGTCCCAGACACAGGTGGACTTTGCCAAGCACCTCCGGCAGCGCCTGGCCCGGCCCGTGACCTGCTGACCACGACCCGCCCACCACCCGGGGCAGGGCTTTGTTCAGGGGCAAAGGGGGAGTCACTTCGATCAGCCAAGGCCTTTAGCAGCAGACACCGCTAATTAATACGTGGTTTCAATCAATAAATACAAAGGTTTATTTATTGGAACTCGTCGTGGAAGTGCAGGACCAAAAATTTTAAGTCCCACGTTTGCTTCACTGAGCATGTGCTGGCCCAGCCAGGCACCTCTGCCCTCCCTAATTACTGTCACTGAATAAATAAAGCTTTAATTAGTGGTGTCTACAATTAGTTATTAGGGAGGCCCCGGACATCTGACTGGGAAGACACATCCTCAATGAGGCAAACACGGGCCTGACTGAACCTCACCTTTTACTCCCCCAAAACTCAAACACAGCACTTAACTAACAATTTTATTCCCTCTCCCCACCCAAAGCAGCTCTAATTTATTTTTCCTGTACAGACACAGACAGAGTGTCAAATTATTTATTCATCCAAAAGCTCTGCAATGATGATCATTGGCAGCAGGCCCAGTGGAGCTCCTGTGAGCAGATCCTCAGCTTGAGAGATCTCCAAATGTAGCTACTTTGAGTTTAAATCTCGCTTGTAACAATTTACAAGACAAAAACAGAATAAAAAGAGAGTTAAAGCCTTTATTTTTAAACTGGTTTCCAGTTTGTGGGGAAAAGAAAAAATACAGTTTGGACAGAAGCCCAAATTTCAGTCTTACATGCAGCTGTCTCGTTCCAACAGAGCCATCCTGGCTGGGAGCTGTTGGTCCCAATCAGCCAAACACACCTGAGCACAGGTGTCACTGTACCCACACCTGGCAGGTCCAGCTACACCCTGTTCTCAAGAACACCCCACAGTCACAGCCCAGGAGGAGGTACCTCAGCACCCCCTTCTCCTGGGAGTGACACTGTAACAGTACTGGAGGCTCCAAGAGATGCCCCAAAATAGCACAAAACACCCCAGACCTGCCCCACTCACGCTCTGGCAGGGGCAGGGGTGTGAACCTGCAGCAGGTAACACATACACAACACCTCAGCCTGGTGGGTCCTGGCTGCTCACTGAGGGATGGACGTTCCTCTGCAATAAATCCTCGGGGTGGGGGGTTTATGGCTCCCAGGGGGGGGCTCCTCCTCCCATCCACCTCTGTCTCCACGTGGTACAGGACATCAGCCAGCGTGTGCTCCACCACGGCACCCCAGCCCATGTCACTCATCTGCAGGGGGAAGAACAGTCAGCTCCAGCCATGGAGGACAGGCAGCACCATTCCAGGGCTGTTTCCCCCCTGGAAACATCGGTGGGGCAAAAAAAAATTCCAAGTGTTTCCCTAAACAACAATTCCACCCTCTTACTGATAAAAGAGGCCAACACAGGCAACAGCAGGGCCTTACAATCTGTCAAGAGGAACTAGACAGCATCTACTATTTAATGAAAATTTAATTAAATTATTTATTGGGCTAGCTGTCCTTAAATATTTTTAAACACGCTGTGGTGTGGTATGAATCACACCAAAATACCTTTTGTTTTAAACACTGAGTTCTCTCAGATGGGGGTAAAAAAGCTTCAGGTTTACTTACAGGGCGGTAAGTGATGTCTCTGGGTGGATACTTGAAATAGGGCCCAAAGTTTATAGAAACCTGGGGAAGACACATTTTCATTAGATCTAAAAAAACCAGGAAAATGTCTTTAGTCCTTGGTCCTCACCCCCTCCTGCTTCTGAGCCTACCCCCAGCCTGTGCAAGCCCACAGGAACAAGCATCCCTGGCATGGAAGGAGGGTGTTCCTTCAGCAGTTTCCTTCCAGAGTCACTTCACTAAAATAATTCCCATCTTTCCTCCTCACTTGGCAGGCTCCCAGAGCACTCCCACTCTGTGCTTTACTGAAACTGAGGGATTCAGGCATTCTCCTTCAAAGACACCTCACTTACCGTGCAGCCTTTGTACAAAGAAATGGCAGGAAAATAAACCCCTTCAAAGATGTCCTTAAAGGCAACTCCTTGGCTGACACCATTCTTGAAGAATATGATCTGAAAAATGAAGGGTTTTCCTGCTGATGGTGGCTGCCACAACACAGCAACTCCCCCAGGATTACCCCCTGCTCCCCTTTACCAGATGTGCTGAAGTGACACCCAAGAACTCACCTGGCTTCCAGGTGCCTGCTTTAGGCTCTTCTCTGCCTTGTCCACAAAATCCTTCTCTTCAAAGTACAAGTAGCTTTTGAATTTGATCAAAGCCTGAAACAGCAGCAAACAATGTCAGAAGCCAGCCCAAAAACCTGTTGCCCATCACCTGCCCTGCTCGGGGACAGGTGTGCCTGGTGTCAGAGTACCTGTGAGGAGTGATTCCCACAGCTCAAGTATTTGAGAGCCAGGAGGGGAAGATGAAAGGAGACGTGGGCAATCCCATCCAGGAGTATTTTGTTTTCCTGAGATCAACACTTTGCACCTCTCCCCTATGAACCACGGAGGTACCCAGAGGCAGGATGGGAAGGATCCACGGAAAGGGGCAGGAGTGAGGCCAGAGCAACCTGTTTGCCACTTATCCACCTGCCAACGCTCAATCCAACAGTGAACTCGCCCCTCACCTTGTCTTTGTAGGTGTCAGGCAGGGATTTGGCCGTCTCAGTGTCCTCTGGAAGGCTGATGTAAAATCCCAGGACGTCTCCCTGTCCGTAGCCAGATGAATAGTGTTTCCCTATCGACTGGTGAAACTTGGTTCCCTTTTTGCTGCGCCAGGAGTAACTGAACTTGTCATATCCCAGAGGGGCCTGCAGGTTCCCTGCAGAAACAAACACTTTGTTGTGAACACGTGGAGTGTAGCAGGAGAATCTCCTAAGAAGTATTTGGTACCATTATTTACCCAAGGGCTGTGACCAGCCTAGTCTGGCAGCTGTGTCTGGAGGCATCTCATCCATGGAGATCTCGAAGTACCAGGCTCCTTTCCGCACGCCATGGGAGGCTCTCACCATGGAATAGCCCTTCTCGCCAATTACAGTCAGCCTGTCGTCAGAGATCTTCAGCTGGGGAGCTGCAGGGGGTGACACGAGCAGTTATTTGGGATTTGCAAAGTGTGGAGATGTCAGAAGGCAAATGAATGTGCAGAGGTGGATCTGACATCTGCAGCTCTGAGAGCGATTACACCTGAAATGTCACTGACCGGTAACGAGAGGTCACCGAGACATCCCTGTAAGGAAACACAACCTGCACAGATTAACGAGCTCTGTACCTCGGTCATGCAGTGCCAGGAGGACTCGTTCATACAGGCAGGCTCTGTACAGGTCCCCAGGAATCGGTTTTCCTGCCCAGCAATCCAGCTCCAGCTTTTCCGGGTCGGGTGCGTGGGGGTCAGGCTCGGCCAGGATGTATCGGTACCCGTCCTTGTTGAAGGGGTGTTCCAGAGGGTACCCGTGGGGGGGCAAGCGCTGGGCTGAGAACAATGGGTCACTGAAACACAGAAACTCCAGGCTGGCATCTCCCAGGGGCTGTGGTGCCATCACAGACTACCCCAGGACACCTCCCTGCAGAGCTGTCCCTGCGCTCAGGGGCTGCACAGCGGTGTCTGTGCCAAACGAGCACACACTCACCTACAAACTGAGCACACACTCCCCAACTGCAAATGATTTATGGCCAGTGAGGTATCAGTAACGTCACAGGGCTCTGGAGTGACTCCCCATGAACCCACCCGAGGCAGAGACAGGTGGGAGGCAGCTTAAGGCATCACGAGTGCGGACATCCCTGCCCGGTGCCCAACCCCTCAGCACCCGTGCCCTTCTCTCACCTGCGGGTTTTCTTGGCTGTTCCCGTGGTCCCTCCGTCCTGCTGCTTGCGTTTGGCTCCCCGGCCCTTCCCGCTGCCTCCAGCAGCCATTCCCCCTGGACACACAGAGCGGGCACGGTAAGGAGCTGGGGGTTGGGGAGCGCCCGGAATCTCCAGGGACAGAGGGGCAGAAGCAGCCAAACCAAAAGGAGCTCGTGGGCTCAGGAGCCTTTGTCCACAGTCAGTGTGAACCAGCCCGTGGTGCCAACGAGCACAGCAAAATCCACAGGGGACTAAATTTGGAGCGGAAGCTGAGGGAGACTGAGCAGCAAAACAAGCTCAACCCGGGCTTTTGAGGTCAGAATTAAGAATCTCTTCTGTCATGAGAAGAGCTACAGGCAGCAGCACTGGGATCCACTTCAGAGGTATTATTATCAGTCTTTCATGGAGATTCCAGTCACAGTTCCAATCTACTTCTGCAGAAGTAGCAGAAACCCCCCCTACAGCACAGCCACTGTCCCAGTGACCCTGTGCTGGGGGAACACTCTGACACCAATCAGCAAGAAGCACTTTAATGTTCAATTTCCATCTATAAAATAAAATACACCTACGTGGAGGAAAAACGAAAAGCAAGAGGTGTTTCTCTTCAGTATCACCAAAGTCAGTTCTGGGATTGAACAGTGCACCAGCCTGAACTACAGCACTGATTTTGAACTCGCAGGACTGTAGTACAGGAAAGGCTGCATGTCAAATTTAATCAAACTAAGATCAGCACAACATTTTAATAAATTAAATCATATGTGCATTTTATCATCACACTATTTCCAAAGAGAGCAGTGTTGATTCACAAGGAAAACTACGGAAATTTCATGTACTGTAGATAAACACCTTCACGAACTGCATTCGTGTGGTAATTAGAAATCCAGTCAGCTCTTCCATTACCAGCATTCCCTTATGGTGTAAGGGATCCAAATCACCCAGGGAATACCATATTCTGCACAAACATGACCTGACCCAGCTGCACATCACCTGATCCGGTGCAGATAAACATTCAGGATCTCCAGCTGGTAAATGTTTACTTGCCCAAACCATCACACTGTATGTTTCAGACTGAATTATTTAGACATTAAGAGTTAAAATGACAACATCAGGTCAACTGACACAAAGTAAAAATAAACACAAGAGCAAAATACACAAATAAAACACTTAGAACAGTCAAGTAGGGCAGAATATGGCAATAAAAGCTTCTAATTGCTAAAGATTAAAGAGTGGAATTGCTGGTTTGTATTAAAGCCTGACTGCAATCACATCAGGGCACGCTTTCATTTTTAATTGACTTTGGCTTCTAAGAGAATCAAGCAAAAAAGCTTTGCAAACAGCAATACTTAAGTTTTAGAAGCTGAAAGGTAAATATTCACCTCCCAGAGAGGCTCCACCTGCAAGAACAGAAGTGGCACCACATGTTTGTCAGTCTCCCGGAAATTCAATAAAAAACAACCAGTGCATGACATGGAGACAACACACCTGAGATATCTGTAACCTGCTCTAAAAAGCCCCAAATACCTCCTGCCTGTACTACTGGGATATGTTTACTGCAGATTATTAATACATATCCTCATCAACAGGTACTTCACTGCAGTAAGGCCACCCTGAGCAACCTTGGCAGGACGGGACAGCACAGGAGTCACCCTCAAGGAGCAACAGTAAAGCACAAGCAGTGAGCACAAGGAATAATACATATATTCATCCTTTCCCCAGCTACTTTCAACTCTCAGAGAAAGGGAAACACAAGGAGGTAAATTAAAACCATTCTAAGAGCAAACTGCCAAGCTGGGCTTTCTGGTGAGCACCTCGATTTATCTGGTCACCGTAAAGAAACAGCTGAACCTTC